ACTTTGTCTGGTGCAACTATATTTCGGACGGAGCCGACACCACTATTGCCCGCCTCAGCGGCATGACCAAAGAGGAACTCAAAGCCAGCTTGACCGCCTAACCGTTGGTTTAGCGCAGTGTGTGGAGCCTCGTCTGTAGTGTTTTGCACTCTGAAGTCAATAATGAATGAGTTTAGTGTTTTTCAACTACAGTAGTTCATTTTATGCGTTATGAAGTCCGTCATCATGCAATAACGATGGCAAATACGGAAACGAGGAAGTGACGAAGGGGGTGACACGGTTGATGACAAAGGTTGGGGGGTTGGATTGGCAGTTTTTCGTGGGGGAGGGTGTTTTGGTGGTGGATGTCTTGGTTCTTTTCGGGCGTTGGGTGCATTGGTGCTAGGTGGTTGAAGGGGCCTTGGTCGTGAGGGCTTCATGATCAAGAAATTACGGAACGGTAAGTGGGCGAAAGGGGTGAGCTTATTGGAAGTGGGTACCGGTGGTCCGCTCAATTCAGGATTCGAAATCCCAGCTGTAAAGTGGTGTCGCCAGCCAACGCCCTGCCCCCTACTTTGAGTACGCCGTGAATGGGCTGGGGTCGACTATGGAAATTTGTCGGTCCAGCTTTCAAGACCAGAAAAGACATGGGGACCCGGTGGGGAGACAACGGGTACGCCTACTTGCAGGGAGGTATGGGAACTGAATGCATGTGCAACTTGGCCGAAGGAATGTCGTATGTTATCTAACGTATACAATGTGTGGACTAATGCTATCCACGCCAACAGGCTTCCTCTGGACATGACGATTGAACCACTTCGTTGTCATGTAAGAACACCACAATGTGTTACGTTAGTGTTGTTATCGAGGTGCACTAGCACTGGTATTTACTCCGGAGTATTTGGTTTCATGCGTATCTACCTGGTAGGTGGCTGGTAAAGCCTAGAGCCAGTGTGTCTGGTGCTCGGCTGAACCAAACCAAATGTCAAACCCTGGTTCTCAACGGCCACCTTGACCCTGCTGACACCGATGGTGGGGGTCTCCTGAACATTGTGCCCTCAGGCCAACCTGTCAAGTACCTCGGGCTCATGTTCGGCCACCGACTACCATCCGACTACCAGCTCAACCTCGTCAATGAGAGGTGGTCCTGTCCAGCTTCCAACATTGGGGTTGCCGTGCTCGCACACTGCAAGGACGTCGGCTGCTGGCCAACACAGTCATGTTATCACTCCTGTGGCATGTTACGGCTGCTCTTCCGGTGCCACCTGCAATGGTACTGGGCTGGCAGTCCATGCTCAATCGACAGCATATCCTCTTCCAACGCTCTACATCTACCAGCTTGAACGTTGACGGTTGCTCACTTGAATCAAGTTGGCGATTTGTTTCGATATGAAGATCTTGGACGCGGGGTCCCGCTTTTGTCGAATGTTTGACGAGGTGATGCGCTCGTTGGAACAAGACCATCTAGAGTGGGTACTCCACCAAGAAGGCGAAATGGTCGTCGAAATCATGACGAAATTAATCAAGCCAGAATCGCTGAAGACAGCGGGTCAAAATCAGCTGAGTTGCAGCGGAACAAGGCGTTGAAGAGCGACGTCTTTGGTTACGTCAATTGGCTGCGGACATTTTCAGCTGGCCACTAGATTTACATGGGACTCGACGACGAGTGTAAACCTTCCCCGTCATCGAAACAGGTAGAAGCTCCACAAGGCGGCAAGCCTCAAGTTCCAAGACGTGAAGGCGGCCGGGAACACGCCGTCAAGAACAATGGCACAGTGGGCAGAAAGGCCGAATCGATCGTGCCCAAGGGCGCCAAGATGGGCTGCTTGACGTGCGATGGCAGTGATGTCGACCTTCCCGTACACCATTGAGGGCGTCTCGGGAGACGCAAATATATGGGGCGACCTCCTGAGCCAATGGGGTTCGGTTCCGACGGATCAACCAGTTGAGAATTGTCGCAAGTTGATCCATGTGGTGTCACCCCTGCAACAAATGGATTTCAAGTGGCCGACAGCCGCTACGATCAGCGACATCCAACGTCCAACCATGGAAGTGAGAGCCCCCCCCCCAAACGGCGTGGATTGGGACGATGACTCCCATTTTTACGTTGACCCAGACGGACGATGCTGTTGACCTACATCAGCGCATTTGTGTGATCGCTCACCAAGGAGCCAGCAGTCACCGTCGCATCGCAGCGACGATTAAGTCGGTGTTCGACATGTTTGTGTGGAAGACACTGTCCACGGATGTCGAAGCGTTCGTGCGTGCCTGTTTGCACTGCCTGTGCATTGACGGAGACATGGTTCCCCGTCCATTGGGTTCGTCGCTTCACGCGAAGACCAACGTGCTTATCTATTTCGAGTGGTTGTCGATACCCATGGCCAACTCTGGCCAAAAACAAGTGCGCCTCGTGAATGACGACATGCGTGGCTTTGTGCAGCTGTTCGCAGCAGCGTCCGTGATGCCGCCGCGAACGCTCAGTGCTTGATGACGTGGTTTACCACTTTCGGCTGCATGTACACATGGGTGTCAGATGACCACCACCTCACGACAGCCTACAGTCCTTGGGCGGACGTGACTGTAGAAGTAGACAACCGACTTATGCTGCGCGCCTTGAAGGCGCTACTCAGCGAAATGAAGTTGAACGAATGGCCGCATGTGCAGCCCCTCCTTCAAGGTGCCCTCTACCATCAGCCGGCGGTCCGGCTGGGAGAAATTGTACCTGTGACAGCGTTTACGGATCTGCCAGCCATAACCCCCTGGCAGGCTTTGACCATCCGACGTCGAAGGAATTTCACGTCGCGGACTGGCTTGGCGCTGCCCGTCAGAAACATGTCACTGACCTCTAAGCGGTGCAACTGGTAGAGTGAACATCGTTATGGAGGTCCAGTCTTTACATGGATATGCGAGCCTATTGATGTTTCTCGACTGATGAGGTCATGCTACAGTAGTGGACCAACTTGATTCAAGTGAGCAACCGTCAACGTTCAAGCTGGTAGATGTAGAGCGTTGGAAGAGGATATGCTGTCGATTGAGCATGGACTGCCAGCCCAGTACCATTGCAGGTGGCACCGGAAGAGCAGCCGTAACATGCCACAGGAGTGATAACATGACTGTGTTAGCCAGCAGCCGAAGTCCTTGCAGTGTGCGAGCACGGCAACCCCAATATTGGAAGCTG